GTTTGAATGTAGCATACGAAGCCATCACAGCCGTCGTATGCCGTCGTATGGTTTTCATGCCGTCGGATTTTCGAGACGTCTGTGACAGAACAAACAGGAAAGAATCTAAGGCAGCCTTGTTCGTAAGAAGAAAGCTGAAGTTTGCAGACGACACAAGCACGAATATACCAAGAATGACCTCAGTTTGCGATCGATCGTACAATGATCGCACGACGGATGAGGCCGGGCCCTAAAAGGTTTCTCAAGACCAATTTTTATTCAAACGCACTAAACCATCCACTTTAGTCTCCGAACGTAATTTTCCACTCATCTAAACGTAATGACTGCCATGTCATCCTAAATAAGAGTAAATTGCCAAATCAATGAGAGGGTTCAATTGTACAATTAGTCAGATGAACGTAACATCACCTGAAAGCCGCACGTTAATTCATACCCTTCGCTATCCCGGGGTCATATCCGCCCTGATATTTCATGACTTTGTTCGCACCTCTGGAGCGCACTCTGACCCGGACAACATATCAAATAACGTTAACGCTGATTGGCCAATCAAAGGTCATCAGGAACATAACCTAGTCCCAGGCAGTACCACAGAAAATTCTAGAAATGTGCAATGCCATTTATAGGTATTTATAGAGTATAAAACAGATATTTGTAACAAACCTTTGATATGAGTCTATGCAAATGTTACAGTAATATTGTGTTATGATACAAACTGAGACAAAATTTGTTCAAATCCAATAAATCAAATTTCCAAAATTCCAAGTACCAATAACAAAACAGTAGGTTTAAGTGTAATCGAAGAGCCTTCGTTGTCGGATTACAACCTTTCTTGTTGGTTACTATAGGCAATAAGGAAATATAAAGACCCTTTCGTAATAAGGCCACAGCAAGTAAATTTTATTGATGACATCCTCCGCAGACTCCAAATGTAATGCGATAGGGCGAAAAAAAAACAAGGCGGGCCAAAAAAACAAGGTTTCTACATTTTCAAATTTTTACATCATAAACCTTGTTAAACAAGAAATGATACATATATTGTGCGAAGTTTACTGCCAACTATTACAACATCCATTTCTCACTGAAACAACTTACATCACATATACACAGCCCCGATCACACTATGAATGATATACATCACTGCATCAAAGTTACTTTAAAGACAAAACATTAAATCAGAGCATTGTATTGTCTAGATCTCCTCTCTTCTTAGTTTTCTGCCATTCGCCTTCCGGCATGGCAACAGACATCTTTGCCCATTTTTGGCATGTAGAAACAGAATTTCTTGTTCCAAAGTCAGGCAAAAAATTAATGTGCGCTTTGATGTCATCCATAAAAATTATTTGCTGTGGCCTAAAGAATATTACACAAGAGGTGGTCAACCTCTTTCAATGGTATTCAAACTGGTTATCCGCCACATGATTGGCCGGTGCTATGGATGAAAAGTCTGGGACGTTTGACATTTTCAGATCCCCCGGAGCAACGGAAAATTTCTCCGCTCATACATGTACATAACACCGCCTTGCCGGAGATCAGGCGCAGACTTGTAGACAATCTACCTGCCACACCTAGCTTAAGAATAGGTTCAAGGCGTTGGCATGGCATCAACGGGATTAATCTGTAAACCGGTCTGCGCTGGCGGAACTGAGAGATATGTACAGTGGAGACTTTCAGAAATATCGTGTAGAATGTTGTTTCTCGGCCTAGCCATTCATACGTTTTACATATACATTCCACCTCCACTCCCCCCCCCCAACGTCCCTTCTCCGTCTGAAATGAGAAGGTCACTGAGGCCAAGGACAACATGCCAGTGTCCCGCCAGAGTTAGCGTCATCCCGGCTTATGCATCAGTCCAGTGGATATAACCGAGTATACAGCTCGCCAATTATCGACTATAACACACGCTGCCTGTCAGAGCCAGGTGTTTTAATGTCAGACATACCCATTAAATCAACACTCTGTCCAGACATTACAGTTGTACGGTCGGCTGCTATAACCCTTTGCGCTAGATATTTATGATTTTTGTGGGTATCGAGTTTCAGCATAGACGAGTCATACAGTCAAAAACCATGCAAGTCACAAAACATTGGGACGTAACTGATGTATTCTTTTCGAGCCTTGGGATTTACATGGAGGCATTTCGGGAATTGAAGAAGACCTCCCCCCCCAAAAAAAAACAACAACAACAGACTGAACATGGAATAAAGAGAGGCCATATGTTTAGAATGAAAAACAAACACAGTGCTGCACTATGCTAAATATATTCTGGAGGCGTACATTCTGTTAATATTTTTTCGTCTTGCGGCCTAGATAGGAGCAATACAATCATTCGTAACTACAGAGAAGCTAAATACATAAGGAATTTTATTTTCACACTGATTTTTTATATTGTTATGAAGTAGGGTATTGCCAGGATTGGGATTTCTCATCACGAAATGCCAGCATGAAATAGCGATGTTATATTCATCTCCAAACGGTAGTAATGGTCTGCAAAACACTGTTACTGTACACCGTCATACTACAGGTCTACAAATCAGGCCTTTTATTTGGTCGAAATCTCCAATCAGCCAATATTTATACTGCAATATTTGCCATAAGAATGTGAATCAGTGCAATATCGTTAAACCCGGATGAAAATCTCACCTGTCCCTGCCTGGTTCCAGTAGCGGCGCCGGGAGTCAGCCTTCCCGCCGCCTGGGCGCGCTGTCGTCTGACGCCGGGCCGGGATCAGGGAAAAACACCTGTTTCTGACGGACTCTACGGGAGCGACGTGCGCGAAATGCCAAGATAACCCGGAGGGAGGGGCTATTCTACACGGCGCGGAATAGCAAATAAATTGTCCGGTAACTTTCCTTGGATCGAATTTGCGGGCGCACTCTTGAACAGTAATGCGAATTTGATACTCGATAAGTGTGATGCACCGCCTTCAAAGATCGCTGCAATTACTGCCAGAGCGGTGTATGAGGATTTATACTAGGCAATTGGACCATAAATGTTTTGGAAATGCCGGCTACGGAGAGAGTTAATCTTGACGAAACTACAGCTACAGATGCTGTGGACACGACTCTCCTCAAGGTACGGCACGACACGATTAAACCTCCGGCATTTACCATTCCTCAACAGAGGGGTGAGCAGGGTGGGGCTTGTAAGAAATATACACCGATTCCACCCGATTTTTAGTCTTCTAATAAAATCAATTTGGTACATCCGTTTCAATAGACAATGTTCAGCTTGAGAAATGAGGCATGACACAAGCACTACTGGAATATATGACCATACATCGACCAAAATGGCCGAATAGCAGATAAATACCGCACAATTTCTCTGCCTAAATAGCCGAATGGGGTAATCTATATTTTCGAGCATAAATAAAGGCACAAACAATACATCCATCCATGTTGCCTGAAACAGGACCACGGAAAATACGAACCCTGAGAGACATGCCTTATTAAGTACAAATACTCGACATCGCTGTTGGAAAAATCATTACAGCAATATAGTACCATATATAAAGCCTACGTGACACAAGCTACATGCAATCCGACCTTCTGGAAATCACAATTTTGATATCAAGTAGCTTTTTAATTACGAATGGGAATCATTGTATATTTCCATAGATCAATATGACACGAAGAAATCTGAATCGTTATTCTACATACCGTTGGCCCAACCCCTCCCAATAATTTCCAGGACGAATTCTGATCCTAAATATTATATATTGCAATTTTGATGAGTCCGCAGTCTGTAGTTTGTTGAAACCGTGGATTATGTATAGCCATATACGTGCGAGGTATGGAGTTATCGGTGGCGCGTGCGCAGTGTGCCAATGCTTCAAAAAGAACGGACGGGCGCAGCTTTCGTCAGATGAGTCTAAAAGGAGTTGGCACGGGGAAAGAAAGACGGGGACCATAAATCTGCATAATTATTGATATTGGTGAATTACAGTGATGGATGACTGAGTCATTGTAATGAAAATTGCTACAAGTGCCACGAAAGGTGTCAGACCAGTTCTCATTACGATTCCCTGTTTGTCAGCTAGAGCTCGGCGACAACCCAGCTGCAGCCTCATTTTGTTTGTAAAGAAATGCCGAGAGGGATCTGTTACTCCCACCAGAGCAATTACCACGAGCGGGTGCGACAGGAGAGTCGAGTTCTGAGTTCAAAGAACCTTTGATCTTCTCCGTCACAAATGGTTAAAGCTCACGGCGTGTACATGTTAGCGTCTTAAGGGCATCCGATGCAATTTCAGGGCAGCAAAAAATGTTCTCGATGCGACATCGAATTTTTTAAATCATATGCTATGGGATTGATTCACCTTACTAAATCAAAAGAATGACCAGAAAATTGACTTTGAAAATCCAGTTTTGCCACCGTGAAATTGCATTGGATGCCTTTAACGCCTGTCGGCGCTTCTTTAGTCTCCAACAGACGGGGAAGGGGGGGGGTTGGCCGTTATCACCGGGGGGAGTTTGGCCACCAGGGTTTCATTTACTCACGCAGTCCAAGAGAAAATTACCCTTACCGCGGGCTCACTCTCATGATCAATTGTCCCTTCTGAGTTCTACTATCCACAACCGCTTAAAAAGGCCTTGTGGAGGCTAGCATATATTCCTGTTCATGTCGTTACAGGTTTCATATCAGTGACTTCGTTTGCTTAAACGCAGCGCCAGATTGGGTAGCAATTTATTATTTTCTTGCGACTCCGCACCATGAAATGTGTAATATGCACATGAAATCAGTGGAGCATGGTGAATATCTCCTGTGATTGATGTGACGATGTTGTGTGTGCGTATACCGCGTGGAACCGCAGCCAAACAACTTCTTAAAGTAATCCTATCACAGCCAAACCACTTCTTAAAGTAATCCTGTCAAACTTGGTAATATAATGCAATTAAGGACTTATTTAACGGTGGTGCAGGAAGGTAGTTTTCCCACACAAAAGGCATTAGCCGGGTAATGACAACACACACGCCATATGGAAATTTGCTGCGAATTATTCCGGATCTTTAATTGAATTAGAGAGCCATTAATTCTCATATCTGCCAAATCACCTGTGCAAATCTGTGCATACTTCATTACTACTTGCTGCCAGCAGTCAAGCCTTTATCAACCATTTCACCTGTCATGACTGAAACTTCCATTTCATGACGTTCATATCGACTGCAAAGGAGCGTATCTGTTGCAACTCATATTGTAATCGCTGGGAGGCGTCGTTGTAGCGCTATTTTTGCCTGCCTTATCGACTGAGACCGGCCATTTCAAATTCGCTGTCGAAGACGAGTCGACCCAGTCCGTCGTACAGCGAGTCAAGGTCCCCGCGCTTGGAGACAGCCTCGCCGGACTCGCCGGTCCCGCACCGCCCGATGCTGGTCTCTGACGTGATCGGGACACACTCCAGGCTGTCCCCGCACGGACAGCGCCAGAATTGCCTGGAGAAAAACATTTCAAAATCTTTCATTAGATATATACATCAAATGTAATATTAAGGTAACGTTTTAATCTTATGCGTACACCACCGGCACCTCCTGGGAGCACAAAGACATTGTTTCAACCCTGTTCAGAATAACAACAGGAAACGCCTTAAGACTTAAATTTGAGCAAAAGCGTCACGAAGCTATTAAAAGGAGAGAGCTGATCCCTCGAACACTTTAATTTTTTGATACGGCAGTTTTGAAGTGTCCGCTGACCATTACCGCGGCCTGGCACAGGCTAATGGTTACGAAGAATGCTGGAGTCACATTTCCAAGCCGGGGCTCCGCCGGGCAGTTTGCGGGAACAAAAAGTACGATAAAAAAAACGAAACACACAAAACATTTAAAAGATGAAAATAATTTTTTCAAACAGCCCGACCGGGCCCCGCCTTAGAATTTTGACTCCAGCATAACGGTGCAGTATGGCTAATCTGATTACTAGTACATTGTAGTAATATTCTTTTTGTTATGTTATGCAAATTTCACGTCTGAAAAGTATGTATAATGAATTTAAAGTCTCAGATATTCTCCAGGAAAAGGTCATTGCTCACATGCAATTCTGAGAATTCGAATTCGTCGGACAAACATTATTACAGATCTAGAGAAGCTAAAATCAGATAGCTTTGTGTTGAAACATCGACGTGGACATTCACCCCCTTGTCAACTGTATGGTAGAGGTAGACAAATCCCTGGCATATTTTTAACAAGCAAAATGAGAAAGTTTACTGGACAGCGCTGAACCTACCGAATGCCGTCGAATGGATAGGGGACAGTGCTGCCCGTCGTGTGGCATATGTCGTTGACTACCCCCAGCTTCTTACACACCGACAGGGTAGACCCCGGGTTCCACTTCGCACAGCACCAGCCCTCTCCACGGGCACCCATACAGTCCGTGTCAGTCACACAAGCCTGCAGAGAAACAATGACAGTCTTAGCCGCGCAGATGCTAGGTTTTTATAAACATGTAGATACTGTAAGGATTTCTGAAAGGCATTTTAGGCTTGTCGCTTTGAAGACAAATGAAAACATATTTCCATTGCCGGAAAACGAGCCTCTATCATTGTAACCAGTGTTTTTCTCAATAAAAACTGTCCAGCCTGTGTATGAGTAAGTGGGTAACAACTTGAGGAATCTTCACGTAATAAGTAGGTAACAAGTGTACGGCATAGTTTGAAACTTGCAATATTGGAAGCTAACCATGTAAAAAGTGACTTCCCTGGCATACTCGTCGCCTGCCCGAGAACTCCAAAGGTGCACTCATTAAATTCATAAATCCATTTTACATGTAACTCTGAATACACAGTAAAACTCACCCCGGTCAGCACTAGTCCCGCAGTCATGCTTCTAGCAAGAAACAAGACGTAAAGGAGAGCGATGATCATTCTGCTGGGCGACGAGTGTCCGTGTCTCTCTTCTACAAGTCGGAAAGTTAGTAAGGCAAAAGCCGAACAGGGACCGCTATTTGTACCCACCTGGGCTCCCAGATGTCACGTTGACTTTGATCTGCCATAAGGAAATGTTTCCCAGAAACGGCCACAACAGATCTGGGCTGTTTTAAAGCATAACTTGCATTACGTCACAAGGATTATGTAGTCAAACCCAGATGAGATGGTTTTGAGAAAAAAATTCTGATGAGAAATCTGCCGATTTGAATGCGCCATTGGTCGACCTTAATGAGTGTTTTTTTTATTTACAGACATGAATACGGTGATAATGGAAAACTCGTTTCTATGGCCAGATGTTGAGAGATCATGGAATCATCCGTGAAAGTAGCGTTGGGAAAGGCAGCAATTCCGGTAAACGTTACGACAAATATCAGATATACTGAAGATGTATAGTGAACTCCTGGAGCCCTTGGCGACAACACAACTCTTTTGTTAAAAGAAAACAACCTCTGGTATACTTTACATATTTACTCCAGCACAAACTTTGAAAAAAAAGGGGACGCCAACCCCACCTTTCACATAATGCCCATGTGCTTCGTTCGAGAATCAGACAAAATTGCCCTTAATCATAGTCTAGATTATGTGATCTTAACTATACGCACGTAATACCAGAGTTTAAAAGGTAGAAGTGGATTATGAGACAGCATGGCGTTTCTTTAGTCTCATGAAGAACCCGTGAACATCAAAGGTCATCAAAAGGATGAAGTTGAATACCATGATTCCATGACCTTATAGATAGTTTTAACTTTGATGTTATGGGCTTAAAGTTAATTGATTGAGGCCTTTTTAAGGATTTAATGTACAGATAGTTGTGAGTTAGATTAACGTCTTGCTATGCGACAGTGCAGATAAACATTGCCATAGCGTTACTAAGTGGCGCCGACAAAAAGAAAACTTCTGACGGGACTTAAAAAAAAAGATCAAGAGGTAACGAATTTCAGTTTGATGAAGCAACCTTAACCTTAAGTTAATAAATGCAGAAAAATTCTTCAGCGACAGGATCGGAAGCGACTGCTTAACCTGTGGACCGACTAGGCGTGTACATGCACCGTGGTACATGCTTCAAGGGACTGTTATGTCCAACCAACCAACCAACCAACCAACCAACCAACCAACCAACCAACCAACCAACCAACCAACCAACCAACCAACCAACCAACCAACCAACCAAAGTTTACTGAAGATCGTGAGTAGTCTGATCAGAATTATGCCACGCCTGCTGTTTGATACGAATCGAGTTAAGTGAGTTGAAATTTGACCCTGAACTCTGCTGACCTACTCAGGAACATCAGACAGCCACCAGTCAACCTTGCTCCCCACCTACTCAGTTCTAACCATGTAGGTGGAGTACGGCAGTGTTCGGGAGGCCATATTCGGCTATGTTTGACAGGGTTATAAGATGAAGACAATGCAGAGAGTAAGTTTCCTTAAACAGCAAGTCAACCCTACAGCGTTGCATGCCAATTTGTTTATTTGTTTATTTCGATTTTTCACAAAGTGAAAGGGAGGGCAAAACAGGTGCATACGCACCTTTACAAGTTGCCCTCCCCCTATATTCAGGGAGGGAAATTGCAGCATCAGTGCATCAGATATGAATGTAAAGCTGACCAACATACATTTCTTATTGACCTAATTGTCCATAGCTTCATCTTTACCAGAGTCCCTGCAGTTTTGAGGGGATAACTTCAGTTTGTTGTTACCTACAAAGTAGACTAAGTTCAAAGCTATATCCTACCGTAATGTGAAAACATATGAGTACGTATTTCCAGAGTTACCCACTTCTTAGAAAGTGGAATGATTCAAGGTAATAGCTAGAGTAACTTTTTCTGAGAAATAGGTACGCCCACGGTTATAAAAAGTTGGACTAGAACCAAGAGTCAGGATACAGACATCTTCAAGTTCAAATGGCTCCCGTGTCTTAATTTTCTCTCCGTTTTTGCACGTACACCTGTAAGATAAGCGGTTATCCTGCATGGCGCATTTGTAAGGGACACGCCATAAAGACCAAGGCCAACTACTATCCAACATCTCTTACATGTCCGGGAGGTCATGGTCAATTTTAGAAAAATGGAAAAAACAACTTCTATGATGCAGTCACCGACGGTATGGTGTTACAGTAGGTGTTAATCGCCCTGATTTTAAACAGTAAGAAACGCCTGAACCACTTTTCTGTGTCGTCATACAAAGTGTAAACATGAAGGACGAATTACCGCTATCGTTCTGTAGAAATACCGTCCCGACTGACGGCTACTTAAGACGCTGAGCTGGAGTAAAGCGTTGGTAATCTTGTGTATCACATATATGGCAATATAACATGTCTATGGACCTAGAAAAGTATCACCTGTTATGTGATCACTTCTTGAACTGACGGTCCTGTGCTCAGACAGCTTTACCCTCCTGTGTTAACGTGGGAAAGGTGATAATGTCAGTGACGACAAGCGGTCTTAAAGGTGTGAAAAGTAGGAGTAAATGGTAGTATGATACGGGCATATAATACTACAGTGGGCGCACGGTAAGACAATATAAAGCTGAAACCCCTTAGTTTTTTGGAAGGAGACTTTAAGAAAGTCCACGGAAACGGGAGTGTGAAGAACCACCATCTGTACGGCACGAACATGGCAACATCTCTCGCGGCTTGGTCGTCTGTTCTGACTTCTTGCTTGCTTCTCTCCTCTGTAGCTCCACGAGCCGTTGGGTCCATCGTCATCACAGGGGTAAAGACGATTTTCTTACTATTTCTCCTTAGCTTTTGTCTTCATTCAATACTGCATCTATATTACGACTTTTACATTTTGCTACTGGTATTAGTACCTTCCTATCGTGTACGAAACTAAAAGTTTAGTTTTATGCCTCACTTCTCTTCTCATTACTACGACAAATATAGGTTTTAGTCTTTCTGACAGTATCCGACAAGTTCTTGCTGCGCTGTAGTTGTGTACAATGTTCGGGTCGGTTTGCCGTACAGACGGTGGTCGTGAGCTCAGTCATCTGTGATTGGGAGTTGGTCGGCGAGATTTCCTTATTAGTCTCTAAAAGTCGTCTGCGCAAGACGACTACAAATTTTGAAAATCAAATTAGGGAAATTCATCATACGCTGCTTGAATGCGAACATACTGGAGCATACTGGAATCGGATTGAAACCCCAATCCAGCACCGACTTTGGTTGGGGACCGGTCGGGAGCAATGTCGTGGGAGGGTTCAGAATATGTGACAGAAGGCTAACGGCCCTGTCACACATTCAGGACAGTCTCCCGACCACCAACCAACCAACCAACCAACCAACCAACCAACCAACCAACCAACCAACCAACCAACCAACCAACCAACCAATGTTGGCAGAAGTTCGGGAGCAGTCTGATCAGATCTACTTCCACCTTTCGATAGGAATCGAAATGAGTAAAATTTGAGATAAATTTGACAGCCAACTACGCCCCGACCAATAATGCTGACCTACTCCCAATCACCAGCCAACTAGTCCCCAACTATGGCCCAACCTCTCCGCTCCCGAATGTTTCAAACACGTTGTAAGTTTACCAAGAGCAACGTTGAGTATAATGCGAGTAATTTCTTTACCTAATGTGGCATGTGACGTACATTACATCTTTGAAACACGGTTTACCGACAAGTTAAGGAACGTATGCCTCTATGGATTAAATTATAAAAAATATGTAGTAAGGGAAAGTTGGCCAAACACTCTAAATATCTTTCGGAAGGGAACTAATCTAGAGTTATTTATACACAACGCCTGAAAAACAGAAGACTGTAACTTCAGTCGATAATGTTACCCGATTCAAGGCTATCTTTTTCACTTATCAGACAGCCTTAGGCAAACAATCCTGCCTGCATTTAAAGTTTGACTCCCTCCGTTTGAGCATTAACCGACCAGTCGCGCCTCGGGTGTACAGCCTTTCATGTACCACACGTCAATGGGAACTTCTGGGTGTAATGGATACCTATCCTACCGTTACTGTGAAACGTAATACAGATCCTACAGAATGTAATGGAAAAAGTAAAGCCATGTATACGTCAAGCCGTAGGCAAGCCTAGATTTACTGATTTAGTGCAGATTACTGAGTACCCCTGCAACAGCTTCCTATGACTTTATTGAAAAGCTTATGTACCTTGTCGATGCGATTGCCAACAATTTTTTTTCAAACGGACGTCGGTGTGGCACCATTAGTAGACGTGCGTTCAATGTCGTTCAGTCTGTTTGTATTACAGAACAGTACAATTACTGATGAATCTAGGCAGACCTAGCTATAGGTCTGAATTACTGCGTAGCTAGAATGATTACATATCGGAATCAGAAAAACACACAAAGGCGACGCGCAAGTAAGCCGCAATTCGATACAATTCAGCAAAAAAAGATTAGGAGTTTTTTTTTCACTGCTGCAGTGGCGAGTCCTGGGACAGGCTGGTGCACATTTCTAGTACAGATTTAGGGAAACCATCTCAAAGGTCCCGTTCTACTCTGTGCAGAGCATAGGGATGGCGCCCATCTCCATTTCTGTAGCCCTTGGGCCACACAGTTGTACAAGCACTACAGCGGGGGGGGGCTTGCCCGCTGGTAGCGTTGTGTGTATCTCAATTAAAAAAATGAGAAAAAACCTAAACCTTGTAGACATATGGGTGAACTGTAAGATTGTATCATGAATGTTCCGTTATCTAGATATGTGAGTCTGACCAGCAGTGTATCGAGGCGCGCGGGGAGGGCTGGTGCTGCGCGCTGTGGAACATGGGAGACGCCCCGGCCGTCTGCAAACAGATGGGGGAAGAGGGCGAGGCCTGCCACAGCTCCAGTAACTACCTGCCCTATCCCTTCACCGGCGTCAGGTTAGACATTCACGCAAACGTTGGCTATTCCCTGAATCATCTAAGATGCCTGTTATCATATCTACCTGGGTTATATGTTTGGGGGATGAGCGAAAATAGCTGCAAATCAGAAGGGGAACGATTCCGTTGAAGACTCAATATCACACCTAGAAACACAGTACAGAAGAAAGGGAAAATAATCTCCAAGCAGAGTGTTTGACAGCAAAAGCGTCACGGTTAGAACTGGCCCTCTGGAGAGAGTTCTCACTCTGGGCGGCTGGGGACTCTCTCTAGATGGCCCTAGATGGCCAAATTGAACAATAAAAGACATGGAAGTCGCAGCACAAGACAGAAAACTCTGGCATTGTCTGGAGGAGCACTGTTATGTCGACCAATGCGACATGAGTCGTGAAGGAGCTAAGGTCTAAGATAAGTTGTTATATCCATTTCGTACTAATGATAGGTTTTGCTTGTCCGTACAGACGGTTCTGGCGGTGCCCTTGTCAGCCAAACCTCACATGTAAGGTTGACGCAGACGCGGAGAGCAGGATCGGCACCTGTACTTCCGGATGAACTGACCGGAAGGACACCGGACCAAACCAGAACAGGACCAGACCCACGACCCTGGCATTCACAACGGACACTCAACACACACCCTAAGGCACACATAGGCCTGTGTAGTTCTTACTGACGAAACCTATGATTAGTCGATCGACACGTGGAACAAATGAACCGACAGACCAACCCACTAGTTCACTGTTATCACGAGATTCTATTAAAAAGCAACGAATTGAATACTTCTATGTCTCAAACAGTATTGTATGATATCGTGCAATGCAGATGACCACATTGATTTCTGGAGTAAAAAAGCACAGTTGAGAGTTAATTTCAAATGCATGAGAATCATTAAGGTATACGCTGACGATACACGAAGTCTATTCTTATCCTTGTCAAGTCGCTCCTTTCATGAACATGAACGTCAACGTTAACAGATAGGCAAACGTAAGGCTGTTTTGAACTTAGGAAATCCCGTGTTGTCTGAACTACAACATACGCACAGAGGGTGCAGAATCAAATCGATATATCAGAGACAGAAGCAAACCAATGCTGAACTTACTGGAAATAATGATATTCAGATATAACAATGACGACCAGACATGTGGAAATCGCCATGAAGATGTATTACATAATGTATAACTAAATGGGCAATCGGAGCGATTTCTACTTGCTTAGAACATGTAGTATACAGAGGACGAGCTTCCGACCACGGAGGTATTTCAGCTTTTATCTGTACGGACAGACTACTAGGAATATGTCACTATCAGGATCACTGGGTACTGACAGCCATGAAAGATTAAAAAAAATATGGCTGCTGGCCAAGCTGTGTTGTCATTTGATATTGTTCATGTATTACTTGGGCTTATTGGTATTGTTGTGTACAATATAATGGACAACACCATGTGTGGTAGGGAGCATATGTGTCTGTATGTGTATAAGTATAACCGCCCTTCAGAGTAGCACACTAGTGGTTGACACACCCTTTGGGGGTTTGACTTACGATAAACACAACTTCCTTATAACATTGTATTTCCATCCACCACATGTACACTACCTGAAACAATTACAGTTAAATCCAATTGAGAAGATACGATACTAGTACTTTATCTTGTCTACATCTGACACACAAACCTTACTGATAAATAAGAGGCTCCAGCCTATCACACAGTGTTCCACATTGAAAAGATGCATGTCTAGTCCCTACTTGATGTCATTCCCCAAGAAAAAAGGAACAGAAACTGCACCAAGATGATTTACACAATGTAGCTGAGAAATATAAGGAATCTTACAGTATATTAAAGTTTTCTTTTTGCACAAAGTTATATTGAAAAAAAAAAGTCAAGCAGACTATGATCCCATTACTCATCTATACAATCAAGTGAGGTCCAAATTACGAGAATAAGAAGACTGCATGGTACTGTATTTGAGCAGCAGTCTGTTCTACATACATTTAGTTTCATCTCAAATCACTGCACTTCACCAAGCCCTGCACAATGGACACCTACAATGTTCATTGAGTGATAAAAGTACAAAGTACACTGTCCAGGAAAACTGGGATGTGCTGAGATACAAATTTTTCTACACCGCCATCTTAAGATGGAAATAAAAACAAACCTTGAACCACGAGATAAAGCAGACATCAGAAAACAAATTTGCTTCAACAAAGACAACTTTGGAAAAAAAAATTATAACAGCTTTCAGATGTATTTATTTATTGCTATCAAGACTTCTGAGTACATCTGACTCAAAAGCTTTATCATCATACAATGTCTGAAGATGTACCATTTAATTTCACCAAAACATAGTTACTACATTTATATCTCACCTGGACATTTCTACACTTACCATTTATCTACAAGTCATAACAAAGAAGCAATCATCCAAAATGCAAATCTTCAGCACTGTCTTTACTTTCAGTCACCCAACTATAAACTATAAACACCAATATTCTTTATAATATTTTCTTTACTCCACTAAAAACATGCCAATATACAGTGGATTCCAATAAACCAATGGAAAAACACAGAGTCAGCAGAAGCATTAATTGTAGCCAATAAGAGAGCAGATTTAGTCCACCAATCAAGTGTGACTGAGTACATGTGACCAAAATGGCCAATCTTTGCATGTTTTAAGTGGACAATAGGAGCTAGTTTGGAGAAAATCTGTGTTATACAAGCTTCTTTGCTTCAAAGAAACTCTTGAGATGCCTCATCTGCCAGAAGCCGGTGACCAGGAGGATGATGGTCTGTGCGATGGACCACCACAGCACCCGCTGGTTTGTGCTCTCGCTAGTCTGGCGGAAACGCTCCTCACGATACTGCGGAGAAACAAGATAACGTCAAAGATCATACATATTCTCACTACATCGAAAGATATGCTAGGAAGTAGGATGTAATGGAGCTCACTTATGCAGACAACATAAAAATGGTCAGCACACTATTAGCCTTTTTTAAAGTAGAAGGCATAACCATAACATATATTGTCTTTTTATAAGTTTATGCATACATTATGTTTTGTGGAGTGGGCAGACACTTAACCAGTGTTCGCTTTGCAGATTTACAGCTCTGAAAATTTACCAGCGCTATCCATGCAAATTTAGAGCTCCAAAAAGTATGCAACAGATTGAAGATTCTTATCTGATTTAGACAAATTATATGTGTTAAATAGAGCTTTCCTTCCTAAATGATAAAAAACTAAAAATAGAAAAGTCACCCTTTGATAGTTCTGTTCCTTCTGGATCTGCTCCACCTGGTCCAGCAGCTGTCTCACTCGCAGCTGCAGCTCCGTCAGCTTGTCCTTGGCAGCGATCTGGGAGTAGTCGATGGCGTGTTCGCCCACCTGGATGTCCAGATGTACCCGCTGGAAAACACAACAGGACACAGAACGGTCAAACATTGAGGCAACAAGGTCGTCTTGTGGTTAAGACTAAGTGGTTAAGACTGAGGAAAGGCATGTTTTAACATGCCTTTATTTTTATTTTTAATAGATTTAAAAATCTATTTCCTCACTTGAAGTGAGTAACTAACTTCAGTTAGGTGTGTCTTCTCGGATGAGGTGTAAAATCCAGGGGTTCCGTGTTTGCGCAGAGCCACACTTTTACCCCTTTTCTTTTAATTGCAATACGCTACATTATAACCAGCAAGGCCTCTTCATAATATGGGGTCCCCCACAAAAAAAACATGCCCTAAAATCATAGTCCTCACTTGAATCACTATCTCATGTCATGTCATATTACTAAAGCTGCTGTTTGGAAAGCAATTATCTATTAGTTACACTTACAGGGCTAGGCAGCAGGGGGAAGGTTATCAACAAGGCATTACCAGTTTTCCTCCAGCAAACAGCCCCCACTTAGTGGAGTTGCTGAACAGACAGATGACGTGTTCTCCTGGGGTGTGTGACGTGAAGGTGAAACGCCCCTCAGAGCTGTACGCCTTGGACAGGAGGACCTTGTCGTCTGGGTCACGGACCTCCACGTGCATCCCCACCCCGGGGCTGGACGGTAGATAGTCGTTGATCGTCTTGTCAAACAGTTGTGTTTTGTACTTCCCTGTTGTGGTGCAGTAAAATTGATGTGAGTTTACCGCAGTTTATAATTCTAGAATGTTGAATGGAGATACCAGTGAGTTCCATTCTAAGGATTGATGCATGTACATGTATTTCTTGCAGAAATTAAACAACAATACATGGGAATCTATATTTGTACCACCCAAAATATTTTCAGACAGTTGACAAATGGGCCTCAAAATTGTCATTTTTTTTCATTTAAGGTAAGATTTGCTAAAGCAATTTTAAATACAATGTACACCAATGGCCCATGATGAGAGGAAATTATCTGAATACTGTGAGGCTGTTTACTTACATACGTTCTTATGTTAATATGCAACCCACACCTTAAATGTAACAAGTATGGATAGTGATTGAAGTGAAATTAGACAATTAAATAGCACAGCTGCTTATCTAGTACACTTAGCCCTGTGCCAGCTGGTGCCACCTCATAATTACATGTAACATGTATTTTAAATAACAGCCTTTTATTTGGTCTGCTCATCATCTATTTGTCTGGAATAATGTGAGTTAAAATCTATTTCAATATTTGGTGAGAATGATGTTGAGAGTATGTCACAGATGATATTCTGACCATACTTAAATGTCACCATTGGGCCTTTAAAGTTTAATTTAAAAAGCACACAAACTGACAAAGTTGAGGTACACCTATAGTAAATACATGGGAAAATATGGTACTCCTACTTCTACATAATAAAAGTGAACAGTGAACATAGAAACCTGACCATGTTGGAATGATCCTATGAATATGGGCTTTCATATATTTTAAGACTAGAAAGAGAGTATATAGTCTTACACGCATCAACATATGGCATGGATACGTGTGTACACCTGAATTCACAAAGGGTAAGTTGGTAACAACGATACGCTAAGATTATGGATAACTAGTTTTCTCGTGTCCTCAGACCTCGTTTCTCCAACCTACATACAGGGCCATAAACATTCGTAGTTGTCTGCATGTTTCTGAACAGGAACAACATGCTTGTCTACCGCCCCCCTCCCAACCCGACAAAACCCGCACCGCCCTCTCGCTCACCTACTACCATGGTCTCGTCCGGAATTTCTTCTATAAAACATTTCTTCTCCGTCTCCCCGATGTGGAAGTACAGAGCAGAGGTTCCGGAGAGGTACAGGACTAGGAACAGGAGGATTTTCGCACCGGACGGCCACATCTCGCCAAGTTTCACTGCAAAACGGAGACGATAGGTCCGCGCAGGCGCAGTGGAAGTGCCACGTCGATTTCGCACAGCCTGCTGGGAGTGTGGGAAAGCTCACCTGCTCCACTGATCTGGTAGTACTAGAAATAAATTATGTTTCCTCCGGCTATAAAAGTAGGCAGTAATTGAGGCCATATGCATTACACTCTCGTCTTTTAAAGGACCCATAATCTATATGACTTGCACAGAGAGTACTAGAACCACAGGAAGTAAGTATATCATATGTGATAGGTCTGTCAATCTGTCAGGCAAACTCTGTGAAGTTTGAGCAAGCTGTGTACGGCAGTTGTTGGATGTTCGCATTCTAATCTACATCCATACCGTCGCCAGTGATAATGTGTCGGTTTCGAGTTTTTCGCTTGCATAGTTGAAATGCCAGTCAAATCAGTAAAATAAGCCAAGTTTGATACGCCCCCCCCAAAAAAAAACACTTACCGTAGTCAAGCAACTCGGTATGATTTAGGAGACAATTTTAGATATATTGACTGGGCCGTAACATTAGATCTTAGAGAAAAAGTTATCAAATCTGGACGCAGATCTCACAAGTGGGGAACTTCAGAATCAAATATTCTAGATGATGTACGTGTTGATAACTATCCACTATTTCTGACTGCGGTACGATACTACAGTTTCCATCCTGTGGCTCTAACATACGCTTTTGTGTTTATTACAATCAACGGCATAATATAAAAGACGACTCGGCATGGACATTATGTATTTGATACAATTGCATTTTTGAAATTCAAACCATTTTATTGTTGTGAGTGAAGACTGATTTTACAAGTTTTACAAATTATCTGTTGTAAATGATTTTAATCCCTTTATTTTCCTTAAGCGTCACAAACGTGAGAAAGTTAACGACAGGTAAAAGATGGCGCATATAAGTTGACAGTAAGGAATCCAAAGTTTCATATATATAACATACATACACGTTGGTGGGTTATCTGATATGGATAAATGATTCTCCGCCGCGTGACATGATAACACGCCAGGTGACTACGCGAAGAAAGGGACCGTGTTTCCGTCCTCCCACCCCACAACCCGAGCACTCCCCAGCTTCTTCTCAAGGTAGTCCTGCATCCTTTTCTCATACACGGAGAAAATTCCGCCTGGTATAGGAAAAAAGGAAATCAATCATTACTCAGAAAATCTAATTCATAATTATGCACTACAATGTACAATTCAATGGTTAAGGAACATGGCAAGAATTCGTCTGAATCATCGGCTTCAGTGTATAAAACGGGTCACATTTTTATTGTTTGTTTGCCTTCTTCAAATTTGTATACATCGTGTAGTTCCAGTGTGATTACCTGTGTGAATGTATAAGAGCCTGTTGCCCTTGAACCTGTGGCGGTTAGTGTGTAACTGCTGCAAGAGCCCCCGGACCGCTCTGCCACCGTAGTGCGGGTCCAAGATCACACCTGTTGCCATGGCGACGTCCACAACAATATCTGCGTAAATCGGGGAGAAAAAAACCCCACTATCAGTGTACAGTATGTTTGTAAAAGTGAAAAAATAAGCTTGTTTATTTCGATGTAGCTAGAGTGAAACGTTCACAGAGAAATGAAACGCAAGTACATGATGCAGTAACAGAAATGCAGAACAGGGCCTCCATCATATGATATATTTACGCACCGTAATCTTTCTCTACATCATCACCGTCAACATCGACATGCTGATATCCGGAAATGACGTCGATGATATCTCGAGATCGTATTTCCGGTAAACCAACGTCCGTGAGAATATGTTGAAGTCTGTGATGTACAATTTCCTCCGGATACGTGACTTCAATACCGTGACACCTGTGAGAACAAGTGACATTCTAACTGTCCGAAAGAACGAAGCATCAACAATTCCAGGAACGACTTTAAAATCAATAATTACACTTGATAATCTACAACATACGAAGGCCCATAAGTACACTTAGTATTTTTTATTCCACTTTTATTTTCTATGGGTACTTTGTATTTTCTATGGGTACTTTGTATTTTCTATGGGTACTTTGTATTTTCTATGGGTACTTTGTATTTTCTATGGGTTACTTTTATTTTCTATGGGTACTTGTTTTTTTCTGTGTGTACTTTTATTTTCTATGGGTACTTTGTATTTTCTATGGGCACTTTGTATTTTCTATGGGTCACTTTTATTTTCTATGGGTCACTTTTATTTTCTATGGTTAATTTCATTTTCCATGGGCACTTTTATTTTCTATGGTTACTTTCATTTTCTATGGGTACTTTTATTTTCTATGGGTTACTTCCATTTTCTATGGGTACTTCTATTTTCTATGGACACTTTTATTTTCTATGGGCCTGTTTAATGGTAGACCGAACCAAACAAAAAATAGTAACCCAATGAAGGGCGCACAAAACGATAAATCGTACAAGACGATAACAATACCGCTCTACCCGGCGGGATCACTGAGACCCCGCCAGGTAAGCATACCGGAGTACCTACAGACACGTCTGTGTGTACTTCGCGAAGTTTTTTGGTGGCTGGCGAAGCGACATTCATTTTGTTTTCATGTGGATGCTCCCATTTTTATTATGGGCGGTATATTTCTGTTTACCATTCTAGGCAACTAAATTTATTTAGAACCTATTAAAACATAATATGCTTTACACTTTAAGAAAAGTTAGTTTGTTTTGCATGCAATGTTCCACACGTTTATTAATTAGGAGTATTAAATAGTGATTATTACATCCTGGCATAGATTATGTTAATATAGACACAGGACCATACTATTTTCGGGGGTGCTAGGACATATTGTTCAGACTTCCGTCAACATTTCCGTAGCGATATATGGTAAATCATATCCTCGCTGGATGTAAATTACTCCTTTCTATTAAAAAAAGCCCGTAATCTAAAGCGAGGGTTCATTGCCAATGTTGGGGAAAAAATGCATTGCGGTTTGCTGCCCTCCTACCAACCGCGAACGTTCATCACAATTGCAGTTTACGCAGGAAATATGGACAATATGCCGTTTCAGTACATAACCTGACATCTAAAATTGTTGAAATATTCACAGAAACTCAAATTACACTGTAGGTTGACCGTCTAATCGTGTGGTAAGCTACATGTGTGCTGTAGTGACATGAATTGGCACTTTTGTGGGGAGGGGGGCGTCCCAACAAAGGTCAACGACCTCCATGGCTTACGGCCTATGTTTCACGCTTTTGCACTTCATAAATGAACAATTTTAGATGTCAGGTTATTTACTGAAACGGCATATTGTCCACATTTCCTGCGTAAACTGCATGTGATGAACGTTCGCGGTTGGCAGGAGGGCAGCAAACCGCAATGCAATTTTTCCCAACATTGGCAATGAACCCTCGCTTTAGATTACGGGCTTTTTGAATAGAAAGGAGTAATTTACATCCAGCGAGGAAGTGATTTACCATATATCGCTACGGAAATGTTGACGGAAGTCTGAACAATATGTCCTAGCACCCCGAAAATAGTATGGTCCTATCGGCGGCAAGTTACACGGCTGGATCCGGGCATTCTTAACGGACAGAAAACAGCGAGTATGCATTGATGGTGAAATGTCAGACTGGGCCAAGGTAACAAGTGGAATTCCCCAGGGATCTGTACTGGGACCGTTTCTTTTCGTTGTCTTTATCAACGACATGCCCGGGACTATTACCAGTGCCTGTCACCTCTTTGCGGATGATGCCAAGGTGTTTCGTCGAGTAAACTCTCCAGTCGAAGTTGCCACCCTGCAAGCAGACATTAACAACCTGGCAGCTTGGTCCAAAGACTGGCAGCTCAGCTTTAACATCGAAAAGTGTAAACGCATGCATATTGGGCATGGTAATCCTTGCCAAGAATATGAAATCCAAGGCTCCACGTTGGAAGAAACCAGCGAGGAGCGGGACCTGGGAGTAATCGTTGACAGGAAACTGAAATTCCATGCGCATTGCACCGCCGCTGCTAACAAGGCATTCAGAATTCTGGGACTCGTCAAGAAGAGCTTTCAACGGCTTGACAAGACAACCGTACCCCTGTTGTACAAAACTATGGTTCGGCCCATTATAGAGTATGGTAATGTGATATGGGGTCCATACTCTATAGGTGACCAGGAGCTACTGAATAGAGTACAGCACAAGGCGACGCGACTTGTACCTGGGTTCAGAGAAATCAGCTACGAGGACAGATTACGTCGTCTGCAACTTCCTACTCTTGAGCACCGCCGCAAAAGAGGTGACGTGATACAAGTCTTCAAGTTCGTCAAGGGTTTCGACCGTGTCGACCCAGGCCGGCTGTTCAACTTAAACGTAGATGGACGTACCAGAGGCCATCCATACAAAATCGCCAAACCACAAGCGAAGAAGTTAACTAGATCAAACTCTTTTAGTGTACGAGCAATAAATGCTTGGAATAGCCTTCCCGCAGATGTTGTGGCAGCAGACACTGTTAACTCTTTTAAGTCAAGACTGGACAGTTACTGGAGGGGGACGGAATACACATAATTAGATATTACAACTTCTGAACATTACAACTTTGAACTCTGGACATTACAACTCTGAATTTTGAACATTACAAACTCTGATATTTTGGGTATTACAAACTACTGAACTCTGGACATTACAATTTGATCATAAGAACTCTGAACTCTGGACATTACAAGACGAGTACAACTCTGAACATTGTAAATCTGAACGTTTAATGTTAGAAACTACTGAACTCTGGACATTATAACTTGATCATAACAACTCTGAACTCTGACATTATAAGTACAACTCTAATATTGTAGATCTGAACGTTTAAGTAACTATCGCCAAAGTACATGTATTAGCGAGGACAATGTATATTTTATTATTTTTGTAATTTATCTATTGTAATGTAGTAGTTTTATGGTTTCAGATATGGATCACACAGGCAGTTGCCTTTTTATCCATTAAAAATGTATGTATGTATGTATGTATGACATTTGTAAGAAACCCTCTGATTTTTTTTGCTTCATTCATACTCATTATTCATTCTTTGTTCGTTGTTCACTTTCATTGTCATGAGTTTCTTTTGTTTATCTTTTTGAATAAAGATGTACAGGAAAATTGATCAAATTGCTGTTTTCCTGTGTTGATAATTTTTTTAATTGATTTTATTTGCATGTGAATGGTGGGCGTCTCCAACTTAGTCAATTTATGCGTTGGTTAGTACATGGGCGTCTCCGACTTAGTCTAATTTATTCGTTGGTTAGTACACCCCTGTCCCTTTGGGGACCGCACTATGTGGATTTAGTCACAAGAAATACAGGCTCCTGATTGGCTGAGGAAAGGTGGCCATGTTCTAAAAACTATTCAGCCATTCTGCAGTTTACAGAGTAAGGTGATCTGATATAATCGTGAGGATGGCATTATCCTTACCTTGTTACCTGACAAGGCGCATCCCGTCATGTCTTCTCGTTTTATGAAGAGTTCCAGATCGTCTGGTAATCCAGGCACCTCCCAGCGGTGGATTGGGGTACTGCACATACCAAGCTGAAGCAAATAATTGGCACCTTTCATGTTACTATGTTAAGCAAATGAAGGTAAAAAAAAGATCTGTGTCTTTATCGGTATAGCCGGTATAACCGCCCTTCGGTGTGACATACCAGCTTAAGATCGGTTGTACATAACCATAGTTAGGATAAGAAAGGATATATATGTATTTCTGTGCACTATTTCTGTGCAGAGCAGCGCTGACAATCCCTGAGCAACAGCGCCACCTAGGAACATGGTAGGAGCTGCAGACACCATCCTGAAGGAAAGGCAATTCCGATATTACAGATAGAGTCAGACAACTGCACGCCTCCGTGTGTTTTCCATTCCAGACATCTGATAAGAGCCGATGTATGAGCTGTAATTCTGACATATTGAGATTTCGCAGCATGGAGCCGCTTTACGGCACCTGCCTTCTTCCGCATAACTCGGTTTGAACGTTAGATGGAGATAGTCGGTATGGTACTATGAAGTGGGAAATTTGTATCTATTAGCCACAGGAACTTAAACTTTGTCTCCTGTGATTAATTTTCACTGGCAGCCGTCTGAATAACATGCTAGCTCAACTCAACCAGGTGACTATTAGTGATTAGTGCAAATTATCAATCAAATAGACTAATACTGCTATAGCTAGCACTCAACTACTGATAACAGACTGTAACCGTAAAAGAGAGTACTGGCAGAGGTTAGCATATATGATACGATGGATACTTAACATTAACTGTCTTAAATGTGGCTGGGGCTTAATGGGGTGCCATAGTTCACTGTCGAACTAGGCGGGCCGGTCGACATAAACCGATCAAGGAAAGATCCCCCATGGCCATACCCTTGGCGTTTACGATATCTATGCATCTATCCAACAAATTGTCGTGCAATAAACCAGGAAACATCGTCTCAGTAGGAGACAGTCTGTGTGTGAAGTGCCGCACACCAAATCAGGATGGTGAACTTTTGACCTTTGGACTGAAAACATGCCATCCACAGCTTTAGAGTTCAAGGTCCGGCTGGCAACAAATCCTGACAACACAGACCGACTCACCTGGACTCTACACTGTGGAATCCCCGTCAGACCGGCCGCCCAAGACGGAGGGACGTATGTGGATAACCCCGGAGACCGCTGACTCTTGTCAGCCTCCATTTTGAGCAGACCTGACTGGAAAAACAGCTGGTTTGCCTTCTTCCCGTCAGGTCATGAGCGGAGTTGGCTTGTCAACTAGACCCAAGGCTGACCAGGGGGCGGTTGCAGACTGTAAACAGTCTACATGTGCGTACGGGCCGGATCTCAAAACGCGATAAAACAGCTTAATTATTCAATGATTGAAAAAAAAAAGGTTTATGTATCTAGTTTATTCAGACCATCAACTCCGTGCTA